ATGATATTTCGTGTGAGGCACAGGATGTCGCAGAAAAATAAACAACGCATTTTTTCCAGGCAAGCAAAAATTTGATAAATTCAAATTACGCTTTGCCTCGAATTGTTATCAGTCCGATTTTTTTTTTCAAAGCTTGACATAAACACAGAATGATGTCGGCAAACAGCCAAAAAGACTGCAGCTGATAGATTCATCAAATTTCAGCAATTATTTTTTATTGTTAATGTTTATTTTCTTAACTAAAGAGTTTAAACAAGATGATGCTGAATAGCTGGAATAGAACTTCAAAATGAAGTACCTTGTATGCAATTTGCATAAACTAAATTACATTTAATTTTTCCATGCAAAGCTTCATATAAGTAAGACAAATTTTATAGTTTAGTTTCTAAGCCACCGGATATCTTGGCGTGGTCTTTTATGAAAAGTAAATGTCTATTAAAATTTGCATATAGGAGGTAGAAGATAGGGATCTTTTTAGAGCTTACAGGTGGTCTTCTATTCATAAATCGTAGAATAAAACCGGATAGTCAATATTTCATGTCAAGATGAACTTGAATGTAAGTAAAAAATTTACTTATGTTTCAATTCAATCCGTTCCTGTACTAATTCTCTCACGATTTGCATTAAGTAATTATTTGATTACAATAAACCACTAGCCAAGGAAGATGACTGTAATCACCTTTTGGACCCGGGATCTAGTTTATTGAAAATTTATAGCTCATATTTGCTTCTGGCGTGTCCACCATAAGCTCGTTATCTGCCCACCGCTATTAAAATAGATAAGTAGGTATGAGTGCGGAGTTGAAAATTAAATTTCCGGGAACTATAATCTACCTTTGGGAAATGTTATAGTGAATTGGTCAAGTTTTGGAGCCTTAATAAAATAGTTATAAGCCTACAACGATACAAGGAACATAAATTTTAGTGGCACACCTCAATAGCCACTTGAATTTTTGGAGCTCAAAAAATTCTTTGTGAAAATTTATTGCCAAAATGTAATAATTTATGTATGTATTGTTCTTGGTCCCATGTATTTATTTGTTTTCAAATATCTTCATTCCGACACATTGGAATTATGGTATACGTTAGCTAATATTGACAGAAATCTTTTTCAAACTTAAAGTATGTATAACTAATTTATTGACACTCCACTCGAATACTTCAAGACATTATATTCAGCATGGAGAAACCTTATTTAGCATATTATTTTAATTCTTTTCTTATGCAAAATTTGCACTGAGAATTTTAATATGTATGAACAAAAATTGCTTTAAAATTTTTATTACCTAATTTGGGAAGGAAACTAGGCAACATTTATTCAAAGTGCCAGTCAGCTGACTCAACAAATGAACAGATACAGCAGTTACGATTTCTAATTGGATCTGACTGGAATGGAATGTAGCCAGTGCATACTGCATTGGAATATAGCGGGTGCATCTTTCAAACCAAAAGGCATACGTGGTTATTCGTAGGGTCCATGATCTACATTCAATTCTGTTTTCGGGATACTTTTCGGGGTCTATTTCGGCTCAAAAGCCAGTAATAATCAAAACTCGATTGTGATGATAAATCCGACAATTTCTTTTCGATGTTTGATATGGAAAGCCACAAAATGACATCAGAATTGATTTGATTAACTGCTCTTTTTCAAAGGTTCAAGTTTTGATTATTCCTGGCCCTTGTTTCGAATCAAGAGCCAAGAATAATGACTTGATTAATTGATATTTCAATGTAGTTGTTTGAGAATTAATTAATCTTGCGATATGAACGAAATTCTTGACGAATTTCCAAAAATAACTGGCAATTCCTAAAAACTGCCTCACCTCATGGACATTTTTAGGAACTGGAAACTTCTCTACTGAAGTTATTTTCGTTTTTCTTCGTCTGGCACTTTTTGCTGATATCTCGTGTTCCAAATAATCAATGGTTTGTCGAAAAAAATTACATTTAGTCATGGTAGGGTCCAGCGTTACTAAATACTTTTAAGATTTCTGATAAAGCTTTGTATTTGTCGTCAAAGTCAACTGCTGGAATCAAGATGTCATCTATGTAGGTCAGTGCTGTATTAAATCTTAATGATCCAAGAACTAGGTTAATACTTCGCTGAAATACAGCTGGAGCATTTGCTAATCCAAATGGCATTCGTGTATACTCATAATGCCCATCTGGTGTAATGAATGCTGTTTTTGTTCTAGACTCTATACAGTCATTGATATTTGGTGGTAGCCTGATTCCATATCAAATGACGTAAAGTGCTTGCTTCCTCTTTATCGTTCAAGATGATCATGGTGATTGGAAATGGTCAACCAACATGATGACTTAAGTAACTTACTCAAAGTCCTTTTTGATTCTCCTAGTTCAAAATATTTTGATGCCATATGATCCAGTGAGAATTACAAGTTGAAGTATAGGAAGTTTTTGAGTTATTACAGATAAGATTTACCTACTTCTGAGGATTTTTCATAAATTGACAAAACACCTCTGAGATATTGAAAGTTGGAAGACGATCTTTACAGAAACTGAGAGATTCTGAGAAACTTTTGTAGGGGTCAGTTAAGTTTAGCCCCCTCCCTCATAGAAAATTTCTGGATGAAAATTATCCCATAATTTTGCTCTTATTTTCCTCCATTTTGCTCCACTAATTTCGATTTTTGCTCCATTACAGTGGAGAGACTATGTGGCCTATTAGGAGGGGGGGCGCATTAACGCTAGTCCCCCCGAGTGAAAATTCAGAAATTTGATCATGCTCATTTTGTTCTCCGAGTTTTACTCCATTTTGCTCCATTATCGGCGAGTTTTGCCCCATTACCAGGAGAGACCTACAGAGCTCCCAAGAATCTCTCCCAGCCCCCCACCGGTAAAAATTTTGAAATTGAACATGCTCATTTTGTTCTCCGAGTTTTGCTCCATTTTGCTACATTATCGGCGAGTTTTGCTCCATTACCAGGAGAGACCTACAGAGCTCCCAAAAGCTCTTCTAGTCTCCCAGCGGTAAAAATTTTGAAATTGAACATGCTCATTTTGTTCTCCGAGTCTTGCTCCATTTTGCTCCATTATCGGCGAGTTTTGCCCCATTACCAGGAGAGACCTATAGAGCTCCCAAAAATCTCTCCCAGCTCCCCCTCCCCAGTGAAAATTCTGAAATTTGATCATACTCATTTTGTTCTCCGAGTTTTGCTCCATAATCGGCGAGTTTTGCTCTATTACCAGGAGAGATCTACAGACCTCCCAAAAATCTCTCCTAGCCCCCCACCGGTAAAAATTTTGAAATTTGAACATGCTCATCTTGTTCTCCGAGTTTTACTCCATTTTGCTCCATTATCGGCGAGTTTTGCTCCATTACCAGGAGAGACCTATAGAGCTCCCAAGAATCTCTCCCAGCCCTCCCCCAGTGAAAATTTTGAAATTTGATCATGCTCATTTTGTTCTCCGAGTTTTGCTCCATTTTGCTCCATAATCGGCGAGTTTTGCTCCATTACCAGGAATGACCTACAGAGCTCCCAAGAATCTCTACCAGCCCACCCCTCCCCCCCCCCTAGTGAAAATTATTTTTAAATTTGATCATGCTCATTTTGTTCTCCGAGTTTTGCTCCGTTTTGCTAGGAGAGATTTTTGGGAGCTCTGTAGGTCTCTCCTGGTAATGGGGCAAAACTCGCCGATAATGGAGCAAAATGGAGCAAGACTTGGAGAACAAAATGAGCATGTTCAATTTCAAAATTTCTACCGGTGGGAGACTAGAAGAGATTTTTGGGAGCTCTGTAGGTCTCTCTTGGTAATGGAGCAAAACTCGCCGATTATGGAGCAAAACTTGGAGAACAAAATGAGTATGATCAAATTTCAGAATTTTCACTGGGGAGGGGGAGCTGGGAGAGATATTGGGAGCTCTGTAGGTCTCTCCTGGTAATGGAGCAAAACTCGCCGATAATGATATAAGCTAATGATATAGGTAAGCAAAATGGAGCAAAACTCAGAGAACAAAATGAGCATGATCAAATTTCTGAATTTTCACTGGGGGCTAGCGTTAAGTCAGCCCCCCTTCCCAGCTGATAGGCCACATAATCTCTCCACTGTAATGGAGCAAAAACCGAAATTAGTGGAGCAAAATGGAGAAAAATGTAGACGTTGAATGGTGGAAATATTAAAATCTGTTTTTTTTTTAAAGATAAAAGTCAAACTGACATTATGTTGGCAATACAATGTAAAATTGTCAATGCTTTCAAACTTTTTATGTAGAAAAGGCTTGTGTTGCCAACATAGTTACTAAATTTTTGACTTGGGGAATTATCTTTAAAAAAAAAACAGGCTTTATATTATAGAAGATGTTTCAGGGAAAAATTATATAATGAAATTGAAGCTGTATTTTCTTTGTTTCAGGGCTTGAACTCTCCTGCAAAGACCTGTACAACTGTGAACTGGTAAGTCATAATTAGTTAATTAAATGTTAAATATCTTACCATATATGTGGATCAGTAATACGATTCTTATTGGGTAAATTCCAAAAACTAAAGGAAATCCTAGATGTAAGTCACTTGAAAACTGTCTGGTTCAAATAGGTACATTGGTATTTGGTGTGGTACATGGTATGTACCAGTTTTAAGCAGACTTTTTCCCATTATCCTCAATGATCTTCAACATCACAGAAATCAACAATAAAGATAATAAAGAGGTTGTGATTAGACTAAATTAGAGCCTGAGAAGCCAGGAATGACTAGAATGAGAGTCCCTATACCCAAAAATCACACATAAAGGAGTGAAATTATAGTAGAATTGGGAATTAGAATAATTTTTTTAAAAAGGAAAAAGGAAATCAACGTCCTTGCTTAGTAATTACACATGCCAAAAATCGGAGTATTGTTAACTAATCTTCAACTTTGTATCAACTACCTATCACATAAAATATAAAACTGTTTACAGAATAAAACAATTATTCCTCCTTAACTGACGCATGTTCACAAAACTTTAGATCATAATATCCTCAACACTAACCTACTAACTATTGCGAAAAATATTTGGCCAAAAATCTAAAGAAAAACTTCATCCCTGTTGCATTTATATCCATTTAAATCCATCTCTGGGTAGTAGGGACTTTTAAAAATCGAAAACTTCTTGAAACGAAACCTCAACAGTCGCGTGTTAACAACAGTAACGTTTCGCGCTCCTTACGACCCAGAACCGTTCTTTTGATGTCAGTCTTCTTACATGATTTCGTTCTGTAAGACCCTCATACGACCATACGAGTAACTTCAATTTTTTTTAAAATTATTTACTTTTGAATTAGTGAGGTGTAAAAATTGGTGGATTATTTTTAGTGCGAAATAGTGTTTTCGAAATAAAATTCTGTTTTTGTGTGTCGCCGATGAGCTGATTTAAAAAAAAAGAAAAACACCAAAGTTAAGTGATTAAAACATTTTTCCTAATTACCTAAACAATCCCGAGGGTGTCCTGTTAATTATCTTTCGATAGCTCGAAAAATCAGGGTAAGCAAAGTATTTATTTTTGATGGCCTGCAGGCGAAAGAAAATAAGAAGTAGGTAGGTATTTCTGGAGAAAAACTAAACAGTCAATGGGATTTTAAGCAGATTTTCACTTTTAATTGGAAATAAATAAAATTCTAATTAAGTGCATTGTGGGCGTCAATTACAAAAATACCTATTTTTGCGTCTTATTAATCATTTTTGGCACGGTTTACCTTTACTCAATGAATGGAGCAAACCTTGGTTTGCAAAATATAAATAATACTTGTTGGATTTTGTTAAACACATTTTACTATTAATCTTAACATTTTGCTATAATTAGTTTGAAAGTTCAATGTTGCAAAATACATATGCACCTCGTAAATCGACACTTCTTAGACCATTTCGGCCGTAACCAATTTGATAATCCAAACATCGAAGGCACTCAAAGGAAGATTGTTTGTTTTAAAGTCAATTATTCGCACCTAATTTGAACTGTCACCGATTTATTTGGTTGTTTTTTTGGTATTTACACGACAGGCCGTTGTTTAGTCTTGGGAACTTTTTTCTGGATCAATTTGAAAGGGATGATAAAGCTTGAGAATTTCTTGGAAAACATTGTTTTTTATTAATATGTTCTTGGATCCTGTTTCTTTCCTAATATAGAAACACAAAACATGTTCCCGAAAAATGGTTCATTTCGACTCTTCTCGGAAATTTTGTGGATCTCAGAACAATAAGGAGTTCTAGTTTTACAGAAAGTTTTACTGAACAACATTTTTCTAATAAAAATATTCCAAGTTCATGTTCAGCGGAAGTTTCATGAAGTTTGGAACAAGGAGAGATGAAAGTCGACACAAAATCCTTCAATAACTCTCAGTAAATAGAAGGCCAACTCTTTCACTTGGAGAAAGAATTGATTATCTTGTAGTTATAATCACCAAATTTTGAAGCGTTTTCTCATATTCCAAGGCTCAAGCCCCTTGCCACTGAAAAATTTACGAAGATTGGTTAGTTCTGGAAAATTTTTACATTGAAAAATACATTAAATTTCAATCACCTAACCTTTCAGTTCATTATCAAATCAATCACAAAAGTGATAAATCATAACCCAGAGCTAAAGGTCAACAGATTTGCACCATACCTAACACCTATATATGATTTGTCATATCGAACACCAACAGATCCAATTATTTTATTTTAACAAATCATAACGCAAATCGATTTGAGCGTTCATTGGAAATAATAAATCACTCTTTTAAACGACACAAGAATACAATAGACTGTCTTCATATAAACTTGTAGGTGTTAATCGTTGCAGTCTGGCCATATATTTTGCACTGTGTGTGATTTTAACGAGCAGAAGATAAATGTCGTGGACGGAATATTAAAATAGGGAGTGATTATTACTTGTCAGGAGATTTGTGAAATTGGAATTGATCCAGTAAGATAACTAGTTGTTCTTAGATGCTGAGATCCAGCAAAGATGTCTCTTCTTCTTCTTCTTTTTCTCTAACATTCTATCATCTTGATTGTTGACGTTACCATCTTCTCTATCATTTTCAAAAATCCTAATCAATTACTTTCTTCGAGATCTCATGTAACTCTAACTCTTCTTATAAGATATCTTGAATCTAAAGCTTTTTAGATCAACATCTCATGTAAGTAGACCAAATTTTTCATAATTAGAAATCTCATTTAACTTCGATTTTTTCTAAAGAACTTATCTAATCTTGACTACTTTTCTTCAAAAGCTCATCTACTTCTGACTGTTCTTCTAAGATATCTTGAATTTAAAGCTATTTAAGTAGAACATCTCATGTAAGTATAAGTAAACTAAACCCTTCTAAATTTGAAACCTGATCTAACTCCAATTTTTTTTCTACAAAGCTTATTTAATCTTAATGACTTTTGATGCTACCATCTTCTCTATCATTTTCAAAAACCTTAATCAACTCCTTTCTTCGAAAGCTCATCTAACTCTGACTCTTCTCTTAAGATATCTTAAATCTAAAGCTATTTAAGTAGAACATCTCATGCAAGTAGACCAAATTTTTCAAAATCTGAAACCTCATCACACTCCAATCTTTTTCTATACAGCTTATCTTATCTTAATGACTGTTGATGCTAGCATCTTCTCTCCAATTTTCAAAAACCTTAATCAATTCCATCATTCGATAGCTCTAACTCTTCTTCCAAAATATCTTGAGTCTAAAGCTATTTAGAACAACATCTCATGTAAGTAGACCAAATTCTTCAAAATCTGAAACCTCATTTAACTTCAATTTTTTTCTACAGAGCTTATCTAGTCTTGATGACTTTTGATGCTATCATCTTCTCTATCGTTTCTCAGAATAATTTTGGTGTATGGAATTTGGTAGATCCCTTAATTATGATTTAGATTTTTAAAAATCTTGAAGATTCATAACTTTTTCATATTATACATTGATGGCTGACATTTTCAGCGATTCTTATCCCAGTAGAGTACTACAATTTCTGAAAATTTCAGCATATTTGAACTTATAGTTCCAAAAATAAAATCTTGTTAATAATTTGGGGTGATTTATGAATTTTTCAATTTCTCTGAGTGCCTTTTTTCATAGAATCTGAATCCAAAAGTCAGGATAATTTAGTGAATGGATTTTCGGGGGTCCCAAAGAACCATTAAGACACAAAATCTCAACAAAAAAAATTGGAATTTCATCGTTCTAGTACTGAGGTAGATTATGATTTAAATTTTCGAAAACTTTGAAAGGTCATAACTTTTTTTCTATTAAAAACAGAAAGCTAAAATTTCCAGCGATTCTTATCCCAGTAGAGGATGACAATCCCTGAAAATTTCAGCTCATTTGGACTTATAGTTCCAGAAATAAAATCGTGTTAAGCAATTTGAGGTGATTTATCAGTTTTTCAATTTTTCTGAGTGCCCTTTTTCATAGAATCTGGCCCCAAATCTCAGAATAATTTAGTGTCTGTTGTTTAAGGGGTCCCAAAGATCCATTAAGACACAAAAACTCAACATAAATAAAATTGAAATTTTATCATTTTAGTACTAAGGTACAATTCGTTTCACGAGACTTTATACTTATGACATCGAAGATGTCATACCTTGAAAAAAAAGTCTTGTCGTAGGTTAATTCTTATGATACATTTAATTTTTTCGACAAATTAAAATAAATTCAGCAAGTCAACAACCGACGAATTTTTTTGATGTCATTGATTTGTTTCAGTCAATTTCTGTTTGTTGAAAAAGGAAGGCAAATTATGTCAAAAGTATAAATCCTCGTGAAAGCTGGATGTAGTGAAAATTTGTATTCATAATTTTTGTTCTCCTACTTTATTTGTGTCTCTTTCTTATATTATTGTCTCCTTCTTTATATTCCGCGTTCTTGATGGTCAGATACAAAAGTTATAAGTTCGCTCAAGCGCCGGGAATAATCAAAATTCGTGTTACAATTTTTAAATCCTAGTTTATCTGTGTCTCTTTCTTACTAATTGAATTTCTTATATTGTTGTTTATTATTTTATTATTCTAACCTCCAAGCGCGGTAAATGATAGAATAAAAGACAATAACGATATAAAAAATTTAATGAGCAAGAGAGAGACAAAAATAAAGTAGGATAAAAATTGTGTTAAAGTTTTTTCCTACTATGTTTGCATCACTTTCTTTACTTATCAAATTGAATAGATATAAAAATTACAAGACCACTCCATAGGCGCCGACTTTTGAAAGTTTTCATGGGTGCAGGGTGCAGGATAATAAATTTTTAAATTTGTTTATAGGGGGAGGGAGAAGGTTGCTGCAAACTTCTGGTCCATCAAAAATTCATCCACAGATCGACCCAGGACGACCCACCTTCGTTCCCTGACGATTCGGTCTTCTGGACCCCATCGAACTCCATCTTGGGAGACGATAGCGCAACCACCCCTGAACGCCTGAATCTAGCACGCCTATAGCTAAGGATAAGGGCCCAGGCAGGACAAAGAACAGAGTTGTGCGTCCCGAACCCCCCACTATCTCCACCCGGAAGAGACCGAGACCATAGTCCCCCGGGGATGACTCTAATAGTCCACTACATCAGGTACCCAAACGTCGAGTGACATTCATAGATGACTATCCGGCACCCTACACCACCTAACAACCCCCCCACCTGGTTCACTGATGCCACCTCCCCTTACGGTCATTGAACTCACCGACGAACCTAACGTTAGTTAGGAGGGAGTGGGAACTGAGTAGCATGACCAGCATTTCCAATCACCTTCTGGTGCAGCAGGCCACCCTCCGCGGCTACCTTAACCCCAATGCCAACAACAACGGTGAAACTCTTCTTCAAATGACCCTAACCCGAAATGACCAGCAATTATACGATTCCGCCTTGAAAAGCTGGACTTCCGAGCGATTCGGGGTCAAATCTCGGAAAAGGGGTGGAGAAATCACCCTCACGGCGCGGGCTCTTCAGGCACCGGGGCTGGTAAAAAGCCCTCAAACTACGGCAAAACTTTCACTGGTCGGGTTCCAATCCCTCTATAAAAAGGCGCAGGACCTCTACACCAAGAGCCATTCCTCTCTGGCCGAAGTCATCTTAAGCGGCCGCTCACTCGACGTTCCTGCGATCAACACAAATATCCAAGAGGTCCAAAATCTCTGGGGCATCCTGGGTAGTTTTAAATTTAAATTACATGATACTGATATTACCCCACGGAACGAAAAAACTATCAAACACATTTGTACTTCCGCATTCCCTACAAGAGCACCCATGGGTGCACCTGCCCCAATGCCCCCATGTAGTCGGCGCCAGTGGACCACTCAACCAACGGGAATAATCAAAATCCTACATTATCACTGGCTCTTTCTTATTTATTGCATTTCTTATATTTTTGTTTATTATTTCATTATTCCAGGCTTTTGGATTGGGCAGACAAAGCCCACTCAAGCGCTGGGAATAATAGGGTAAGAGCACGGGTGAGAGACCAACGATATAATAAATTCAATGAGTAAGAGAGGGACACAAATAAAGTAGAT